ACAGGTGTGCGGAGCCACCTCCCACAGGTGTGTGGAGCCACCTCCCACAGGTGTACGGAGACAGCCGGAGCCACCTCCCACAGGTGTGCGGAGACAGCCGGAGACATCTCCCACAGGTGTGCGGAGCCAGCCGGAGACACCTCCCACAGGTGTGCGAGCAGCCAGAGCTCCTGCAGGTGCAGGTTCTGATGGCTGTGCCTGGCGTGGCCCTTCTTTCACTTTGTGCCAGGAACCGACATCCTGCCCCCAGTCTGACAGAGACCTTTATTTTTCCCAGCGCAGAGACCCAGGGTGAGGTGCATTTCACACACACAGGCATGCACACACATGTGCTGCACACGTGTGCACACACTCCCCAGGACTCTTCAGGGCAATGGCGTTGGACGAGGCTTTGCCAACAGCTAGGAGTGCGCGTGGCTGTGAAGGAACCCGGGCCTTTCTCACAGAGTTGGGGGCAGAAGACAGGTCCACCTGCGTGCTGGCCCAGGGAGGGCTTTGCACAGGCTGGGAGCAGGGAAGTCGTTCACCGGGGTCACATTTTGTACACAGCATTTGACTAAGCCGGGCCCAATACGCATGTGAGGAGCACCGGGACCCGTATGCAGAGCCTGGAGATGGGGCTGGGGGGCGTGGGGCTGAGCAGCCCTCTCTGAACCATCCCCCCAAACGTGCTGGGCCTCAGCCCACAAACAGGGCCCTGACCCAGACCGCGGAGGCAACAACTCAAATGACACACTGGCGCCGTGTCTCCCCTGAATTTATTACTGTAAAGCAGAGGGCTGAACAGACTCGGGAAATAAATAGCAGAGAGGAAGCGGCTCAAGTGGGAGGGGCTGCGCGGCCAGCAGGACCAAGTGATTCCGTCCTGCGGCGGGTGGGGGCCGGGGGGCGGCCTCGCTCACTCCCCCAGCATGCCCCGGAGGCTGGAGCGCCGGGCGCGGTTCAGGACACTCCGCTGGGCGCGCGGGAGCACGCAGGCGGTGTCCTGGCACCCGCAGCTCTCGATGTGGGTGTAGGTGTATTTCCGCGAGCCGCCTTCGGGGCAGCTCAGGTCCACCTCGCGCTGGCTGGTCTTCTCCTCCTTGCAGCAGGAGCACTGGTGGTCCAGGGCCTGGGCCTCGGCGGAGTACCTGGGGGGCAGGGCAGGAGTGAGGGTCCACCTCCCCCGCCGGCCTCCAGGCCCTCCACCAAGGCACGCTGGCAGCCTGAGACTCACATGACAAAAGTCCCACAGGAGCCCGAGCAGTGATTCATGAGGACCTTGGCGGTGCAGCCGTCTTGTGAGATCTCCCTGGTGACAGGGACGGTGGAGCAGGGTATCTTGGTCTCGTTTCGGTGGATGCCTGAGGGGACAAGGTGAGGCTCAAGGTGGGGGTTTCTGCCGTGCTGCGTCCTGTCCCCTCCCCAGCATGGCTGGCCCTCAGCCTCTGCCCTCGCTGCCCTACCAGAGGCAAGCTCCAGCTGGACCACCCCGGTGAGCTAAGTCCCACCTTGCTTCTCCTGGGAGGAGCTTGGGCTTCCCGGGCTCCCTCAAACTCAGCACCCAGAGGAGAGAGGGAGGCCCATGGGCACTGGGCACCATCCTCCCCTTGAGAGGGCCTAGGGGAGTCCACCCCCAGCCGTGCCTGCTTGCCCTGGGAGCCGCCCACCCTGCAGACTGTACTCACATGTCTTGCAGCATCCATTGGGCATGAGTGTGATGGAGCCCTGGAGGGAAAGGAGAATGAGCCTGGGACCCCCCAGGACACCCCTAGACCACGCCCAGTGGGTGAGGGTCCCTGGCCTGCCATGGCTCCTGAAGAAGGGGCCTGCGCG